CGTTTATGTCAAGGTAGTCAAGTCCGTTTTCACGGAGCAGATACAACGTGCATTTTTGCAATAGTAAATGTAGTGGATCTGGGATTCGACTTCTGTTAGAACGTCCGAGCATGGCATAGCATAGTGGTCCTCACATAGCAGTGCCTTCTTAACCACACATATTCTACGCTGCCACCTGTGGTGCAGGCTTGGCTCCGGTGGCTCGCCCCCGGCCGTAGCAGGCCATCGAGGGGGGGGCCGCGTGGATGGGTCGGGGGAGGGCGTAACACACCTTATAGCATACTTTCACATGTTCACATGCTGAATGGGTGCTTTTTCCGCAGCGACTGTATGGATTTAGGGTTTTCATTCTAGTTACTCTGGTAGGTTCAGAGTGTTCCAGGCAAGGCTGTTGCGATTTTCGACACACGCGCCCACGCTTCGTGATCCCATCGGTCCTGTCCGTCGGGTGTTGGCATCTTGCGGAGACCATACATCGTTGTACCTTCCCACTTAGTCTTAGCTTCTGTAGCTTTATATAGCCGGTCTTTCAATGACCACGTCCGCAGTCAAAGCCGCCAGAACAACACTAAGCCCGAGATGCAGAGCTCCGGAAATCTGCCAGTACCAGGCAGCAGCGACTGCGCCGCCTGCTCCTGTGCTGGATTATGTGCTTCGAAAGGCATATTTCTGCAATATGACATTTAAGTTCTTGGGAAAAGATGTGTCTTGACCAAATCGTGGTTGATTGGTTTGCAGGACTCGGGATGCAAAATTATTCATAGCTCAAGCTGAGTGAGTGTTTTGTACGGCCCATGTCTCAGTTCAAAGCGACACACCTGCATTCCCCCGCATCCCTGATGAGTCACGTTTTGCGTATGTCATCTGAGCTGCAGGGTTGAGGTTGCAAGTTGCGTGCGCGGGCGGGGCGGGGGCGGGTGGGGGTGGGGAGGGGGCATGCGTCAATCAGCTTACATTTCCATTCAAATACCTCTCCTTTTTTTTTTGGTGGTTTGTACTTTAGGACTGCTACTCGTACTAAACTGATTTTGGCAGTATTTCGTTCGATGTCTACGCCCCGACTGATGGTATGAGTCTTTGCAAGTCGCTGGCTCCAGCGTAATAAGTCCAAAGCCCCCCCAGGCCGTTGCAGAGCGGCTGTCCTGGATGCTGTGAGGACACCCTACGAGGGCGCCAGGGCGAAGAACCCAATGAGAAATATTCGGGGGGGGGGGGGAGGGGTGACTGTAGTGAGCTTTGCGATTCCGAGAACTTCCAGCACGTTCGCATGAAGCGAAGCTGCCTGAGCAGTTATCCTGAGAGTGCTTATCCTAAAGTTGCAAGAATCTTTGCAAGAATCTTGGGGCAATGAGGTTGGTCCGATTGCAAGTCTGCAGAAGGAGACAACCGAAACGAATGATCGCAGGATCGCGGTAGCGCAAAGACAGATTTTGCCCCAGTTTTTATAAGAAACCAACAAGGGATTCATGAGTGAGTTTATTGGGTTTAGGGTGACATGCCCCCTCTTTGCCGGATGGGCGCGGCGCTTGAAGGAGGGGGGAAGCTTACAGACCGCCTGGGCGAAGCGCATGCACACCTTTGGGAGCTCTTTGGGCTTTTTGGGCTCTTTGGCGGCTTTGCTTTGTGAGCAGGATATGGCAGCCCGCGCGCTTGCTCCTGGCCTCCCCAGCGGAAAGCGGCCTGGATGCAACCTATTGTGTCCGATGACGAGGATCTCTCGATTGGCCTCAATGTGCTGCGTGACACTGCTTCACACTTGTCAACCTGAAAATTCCCTCAAGGATGGGCCCTAAAATTTTAAAACCCTTGACTTTCTGTTTCCAGGCCAGCTTTCGATTTTCCGACCATTCCGACTTCCCGTGCCGCGCTGAAGCCTTGTGGGGGCCACGAGCGTGCCAGTTTCTTCGATTGAAAGAGGGGTGGGGGAGGGGAGAGGGAGGTCAAGACCCCGTTGGAGCACCCAGCCTTCTTGAGTACTTCCTGTCGTTCGCCTGCAAAGGACCGACTTGGACCAATAGAATGCCCCAATCAGCCACGCAACAAGTGGACAACTTCCAAGGAACAACAATAAGTCAACGTTAGACACAGTCAAGCGATAATTGTAAACGCTTGCGCGCGCCGCCTCGGCAGCCGGGCCGGCCCACGGACAGGAAAGGAGGAAAGAGGGTTTCTGGCTGGGAAAGGCCTCAAAAAAAAAGGAGGGGGTTCCAGGAAGGGTTATAGGGAGGGGTGCTAGGGGGTCCCGAAATTTGTGCTTTTTGGAGCGCCCCCGAGCCCCCAGCAGGTGGGACCCCCCACGGCATCGGTTTGCAGCTCAGCGATGGGGGGGGGGGTCCCACAGGACAAAATTTGGCAAGGGTTGGGTTAGGGGGAAGGAGACCGGATCCCATGTCTGCTTGTTCCAAACGCTTCTCGGCAGGAAGCCGAGGCGAATGAAAACATACATGACATGTCAAACAAGGAGAGCAACGAAATGCAACGAAGAAACTGCAGGAGCAACCGGATGACGAACACGCGAAGACACGTCTGGAACATGAAAACACGGTTTTTCTGCGTTTGGAATGGCAGTGTAAGCCAGCCACCAAAACAGAACAAGCAACAAACACACAAAAGATGCGAAAAGCGCAAAACACAACAGCCCAAGAGGCGTTCGAGCACATTCTACCCTTGCTGGTGGGGATTATGCGATGCTGTCGGGCACAGCTTCAACTATTGTGAGGGGCACCCCATGTGATTTCAGAGAAGAAGTCCTAACCCTCAGGGGGGGTATCCCAGGTGCTGGCTTAAGGGCTCTCTCGGGCTCTGTGGGTAGAGGATGCGTCGTCCTGTCTGCGTCAGGCACCGCTGTTGCTCCGGGGCTTCTTGGACTGCATGGCCCACAGGCTTTGTGGGGATGAAGGGGGTGTAGGGGTTCAGGGGTTCTACTACCGGTTCAGGGGGGCTCAGGGTGCAGGGGGTTTGGGTTGCGGGTGTATGATGGATCAGGCTTATAGTGCAATCTTCGAGCATGGCTAGCGTTCTCCATGTCTTCCATGCTCTTCTGATGAGGTCGTGGAAGCCTCTGTGTGAAGCCGAGGCACCCGCGCACGCAAGGCAGAGCCAGCACGGCGTCGACTGCCACTGCCGGGGACCTGGACATCTCCCCACGCGAAGCTTTGCAGGAGCAACAACGCGCCGATCTGAGATGTTTTCAACGTAGAAAAGCGTCAAGAAGGAACTTTAAAGTGAACATGTACGGTAGTATTGAGACGAATGCAGAAGTCTGACGGTGGCATGGCAATATTCATCGTATTGCACATTGAGGAGACCTTTCTGCCCATTTCAGGGAGCAATCCGAAGTTCCACTCAACCGAAATCCCAAACCCCAAAGACCCCAGGGCCCCAAAAGCCTTAGAACAAAAAAAAGAGAATCCTCTTGCAACCCTTATATTCTTATTGTGGATTGCATGAAATGCAAGCTAAGATCCCAGCTAGTAGCCGGTGCCAGGCCCAGGAGCCACTGTGCGAAGTTACGACGCCTCGGGCTGGTCCCCCTAAACGGCCCCACCCAACACCCCCAGACATCCTCGAACCCGAACGTCTTGGGAGCATCAGCTCCCCAAAAACCCCCCTCTGCCATCCGCTCCTCAGGCGGCGAGCCTCGAGACTTTCGAGCCGTGGATGGCAGGGCTTTTTGAGCCGCTTGCCATTTTTAGCGTGTCGTGGTTTTCGCAAGGGGCCTTCTTCAGGGTGACTCGAAATGTGAGTGATACCGTGGGAGGAGGAGGAGGAGGAGGAGGAGGGAGGAGGAGGAGGAGGAGAGGAGGAGGAGGAGGAGGAGGAGGAGGAGGAGCAGGAGGAGCAGGAGGAGGAGGAGGAGGATGAGGAGGAGGAGGAGGAGCAGGAGGTCAGGAAGTAATTTCTCTGGTGCACAGTCGCATGTCTCATTTTGGCGGTTGCGTTGTTCAAGGGAGCAAGAGCCAAAGGATTTGGGAGCAGCACTGCGGAAAGTCCACCGCAGCTCCATGGGATTCAGAAGAGGAGCGGAGCTTGCTGCGCTGTGCTCTGCATGTCAGCGTTGAAATGTTCTGCGGGGCTGTGTCGTTCCAAAATCTGGTCATGATGTGCTTTGGGTGAACAGCGGTTGGCATGTCGTGGTGAATTGAGTTGAAGTGGGATGCGTCGTGGCTGGCTGCAGTCACAACGTCTTACTGTGTGCAGGAGGCCCAATGCGAAAAGGATGGATTTTGGCACGGGGAGGCCAGCATCCATCTGTTTGGCAGCGTGTGCCCAGCAAGCGCAAGAAGCATCTGCAAGGTGTCAGTAAGTGAGCTTGGCAGTTCCGACACCGGTGTGGAGGTGGGGGGTTGGCGATCAGGAGCACAGTCTTGATGCTGGTTGCATGCTTCGTTTCGGAAAGAAGTCGCCTAATAATTCCTTCGTTGTTTTGGTCTGACGGCACTACGGAGTATTGCTCAGATGTAGACACCTGGCACGGTGGGGCACGTAAAGCATCTTTTTGAATGCGACTTGACCATCTGAGCCCCGTACTTCCAAAGTCTCGCTAAGTCTCGCTTTTTGATGGTACTAGTGAATGTATTCGCCAGGAAGCAGTAGGCTTGGTTGTTGCCGAGCTTGTGGACACATTTGCCCATTTACGAGCTGGTTCGCGAGCGAGCTGCATCATGTTAGTGTGTGCGAAAAGGGCGTTTTGACTTTTGGGAACCAGGCTTCATCTCCGATTCTCACCCTTGAGGCGCTATTTCCGCAGCTCGTCCTGAGCTTTTCTCGGCTTGGTCTTTGATTGAAACTGCCTGATGTGCTGTGACGTAGATGGTCCAAGCTTGCTCGAAGCGGGTGTAGCAGATAAGGCTTCCGGACATGCTCTCCCATCTCCTCGCAGCAGCTTTACCTGCTTTTAAGTGACTTCAGCCGTACATGTGACTGCTGCGAACGGCGCGTGATCTGAGGCTTGTGACAGTGCTTCATTACGTGCCGTTTGCCGAGACTTTCGAGACAAAATGCCTCAAGAGGCCTGATGCACAAAGAAGGAGTACCGTTGCAACCATGACATGCCTGTGTTTTTTCTTTCTCCTCTCTCTCTCTCTCTCTTTTCTTGAAGAACCTTCGGCTCCTCAGCTCGACTTCAGTGTTGAACGTCGAGTCTTAGGGCAAAGGCCCTCCGAAGCTGAAGAGAATCCTGAAGAAGGGATCCCTGAGGATCCCTTCTCTACAAAACATCATTTAGTTGTAAACGCTTTTGCGCGCCGCCTCGGCAGCCGGGCCCACATCCCACGGCCGGAACTTCCAAAAACCTTGCAAAGCAGGTCCCAAGCAAAATCACCAAAATCCTCTATCTGAAGGTTTCAGGGAAGGCTGGGCGAGGGGGGGTGGGTCCAGGGATGGCGGGAACCCACGGCATCGGTTTGCAGCTCCTCCAAAAGCGATCTGTGGAGGGGTTTTGCAGGAGGGTTGGGTTAGGAGACCGGATCCTGGTCTGCTTGAGGCGAGTCTTAGGACATTTCAGGATGATGAATTTGGGAATCCGGCCATAGCAAGGGGGCAGAAACAAAGGGGTCGGAACCGGGGGTCTCTGCGTCAAACGCTTGAGTTGGGAGGCTTGCTGAGGACTTCCTTTTTCCATTCTTTGAGAGGATGGAATTAGGAAATGAGCTTGTGCCTTCCAATGAGCCCCTTTCTGGTGCGGAAAAATGTTGCGCACGGCTTTTGTGATTGGAAGCCGCTGTGCACAATGTTGCTTCCGTGCATTGAAGTCCAAGTCGAGCCTTCCCGTCACTTCCTGGCAGGTCTTTTTGGAGCACTTCATGAACTTGATGCAGCTTTCTAAGCACGGGCCCAATAGTGAGCTGTGCAAGATTTCAGGGTAGGTGTCGACGTCGCATACAGCAGCAAGGCCCGACATCTTTGTGGTCACTGGAAAGTGGTGCAAAGCCATCGCCGCCAGCGACTTCAGGGAGAGGAAGAGCGACCAACGCGACGTGCTACAGGCTTGCAACGCAGGTACGATGGCCTCAAAACCGAGTGATTTCTCTCATCTGTTCGCTCAGCTTTGCCATGCACTGTAGTGTGAGAAGATGTGAGAAGATGCTTGCAGGACTGTGGTGTTTCTTCAAGGGCATCAACGCTTGGCACAGGGCCTGGCCCAACGCTTTGTTGGCTGCGGCACGGGAGCTGAGAGAACATTGCCGGCACCCGGAAGAGAGGATCTCAAAAAACGCTCAATGGACAATGGCAGTTTGGGCTGGACACTGTTTTCAAACTGCAAAAAGGAAGGGCATGAGTGTGACACGCCGATGATGAAGTCCGTGTGGAAATCTGTGGGGCTTTCGCCAAGTGCAGGCCTGTGTTGTTCGGGAGGTTCAATGAGGCCTGCGTGCAAGCTCTTGCAGAAGCGTGTGGGGCCAACAGCAGCGAAGCTTGTCGGAGCCATGCGTTGCGGGCATTGAAGCTGTTTTCTGAGATGGACAAGACGTTGTACCAGAAGATCCGCACTCACCTTGTTTGGGCATACCGGGCTAGAAGAGGCCTGTACCGTCATGACATCTCTCAGCTGATCGGTGCTATGGACGTGCAAGCAGGATTTCGAGCAATACAGGGCTTTTGGCATGTTTCAGTGGACATCGTCAGCAGCTCCATCACCCAAACTGTATCGAGTCTTTCCAACTTCCAGCATCTCGTCAGCGATCCGTTCCAAGCATGTGCAAGCGTGGAGGTTGTTGAGACCAAAGCCGCAGAGCTGAATCGCCAAGTTCGGAACAGACGTGAACAACACATGCAACAGAGATGAACATCCTCAGCTGGATCTTCAGGGCCTCCAGGATAGCATTCCGCAAGGGGGCATTCGTGCGCATTAAGCTTGTAGGCACTGGACACGGTGGGCGTAGGAAAGTGGGGGCTTCCTGCGAAGGAAGAGGTCCAAAAACCTTTAGTTTACGGCATCCCACCTTACTACCACTCCACAGACGGCTTCGCCGGCTTGAACCAGAGTGGCAGCTTGAGACAAGGGAGTTACCGAACTGCCAACGCGGGCTCGGTTTGAAGCTTTTGACCTGAAGCTGTACGAAGCAAGGTGCAGTGCCCGAGACGAAAAAAACAACTCCCAGCCGAGAGAATGTTGACTGTTGAACCAAAACCAGCTTGGCTTCGTGCCTTGGAGGTGGACTCAGCCATGCGGCCCAACCCTGCTAGGTCCTAGGCAAAAAAGTACCTGGCTCCGATTGCGTTGGGACTTTTGAAACTAGACCTTGCAAGCATCCCTTAAAGCCCTAAGCCTCTGGACCTCAACGAAACGGGAATATTTGGCAAATCTGGGCTGGTGCACATGTCTGTACGGCCTGCAAGGCCTCTTCACAAATGCCCGCAGCGACCTCAAAGCTTTTGCAGTTTCTCACATGGGCAGTGTGAGCGTTACAGAGCTTGAGGTTGACTGCATTTCATTGCATACCTTTACAACCACAATGATCGGTCCCTAATGACAGCTGCAGCACTTGCTGCATCTTCGATCAAGTAGCAGCGTATGTGCATGTATGTGCCACATGAGGGCTGCTGTGGCCACGCAATAACGATGGAGTGAGAAAAAGCACGTTGGGCCTTCGTGACAATTCACTAAGCCGCGAAGCCTTCAGCTGCCATGTGGACACTCCTTTGGCCGCAAGAGCCTTCTTGCGTCGCGAACGGCTGCCCCACTTCGCCGCAAGCTGCAGCTGTGGAAGCGATGCAGGTCACGGCACGAGTGCTCCCAGAGGGTTTCGCGTCTGAATTGCCGTCCATCTGTTCTGTCCACGGCAGGGTGACATGAGGCTGCTGCTCAACCAGGTGGGCATTCAGAGCTGTTGGTCCAAGGGGGCATCTTGTCTGATTTGCAGGAGCTGGCGGTCTTCCGCCAAGAGTTGCTGAAGGATGTCAAGCAGCTCTTGGTGGACACCCTCTGCAAGCCGAAGGCGGCTGTGACGTGTTCTCGTCAGGTTGCTCTTGTGCGTTGGGGGGCTCGAGGAGGCTGCACAGCTCGTCGTCCAGAAACATCGCTGAACATACTCGGCACATCTTGGGGCCGCCAAAGGTGCACAAACTTGCGAAGCATCTAGACCAGGGATGCCCAAACGAAGCAGCTGCACCCAACCCTGTCGGTTGGCTGGGCGGAAGCCGCGCGTTGACCTGCAGCTTGGGAAAGTCGCAAGGCCCGCACTTCCGAGCCGACATCAGCACCGCCCGCCAGACACACAAAGCCTGGAGTCGGCTGCCTCTTGCAATAAACCAGTCACTACTGCAATTGGTGGTTGCACGCCGCGCCCGCCATGAAATCAACAACGTGTAACAACGCAGCATGAACAAGCATGAAAACCAATGTCAATGCGTTTCTTATCTTTCTAGATCGCCCACCCCCCCACTTTGTTGTGTTTCGGGCTGCTGCCATCTCCTACTCCTCTTGGAGCGAATCTGTCTATGTTTCTGCGAATCACTGCACTTGTCACGTACTTTTGAAGCCATGTTGGCACGAGCTAGGCGAACTGGAGATCCGCAGAGGATTGCCACATGCTGGAGTGGACGTCACAGATTCATGCTCGGCATCATGCAATGAAGTCAGTGCGTCGTTTGTTTGATTTCTGTAGTCAGCTATGTTTGGTTCCCGCCAGGACCTTGTACGCACTCCACCTCATCGAAGGGCGCAGGAGCTGCGTCGAGCGCTTGCTGCAGTGCGCACGCGCTGGCTGCAATCGTTAGCACATGCCGATGAGCCAGGATTGCGAGACGCCTGACACATGTGCTGCAGCCTCAAAGTGGCACGTCACAGCGCAGGAATAGGTAGAGGCTATCTGGGTCACATAGAAATCCTTTATTAGAATTTATCCGAGTCACGGAGACCCCTGTTTAGTTAAGCTTTTGCAGAATCGTTGAAACCCAACGTCATGCCCGGAGACCGGCTGGCCTGGAGAGCCTAGAACTCCCTGTCGTCTGTGTTTGGCATCTTGGCCCTCGTATCTGTTCTGCCGGCGGGGGTTCAGGTGAGGGGGGTTGGCCGGTCTATGATTATTGCGGTCAACATGAACGCCTGTCTGTGTGTTTGTGAGTTCAGAGACTTCCATAGCCAACGTGAATCGTTCCATACATTCCACTGGTATAAGGGCTGCCGCCGGCACCGACCGGGAACGGCGCTGAAGAAGCAGCCAAAGAAGCGAGCAGCGTTTCGGAAGGGTGAGGAGGGGGGGTTAGGTGCCCAAACGAAGCAGCTGCACCCAACCCTGTCGGTTGGCTGGGCGGAAGCCGCGCGTTGACCTGCAGCTTGGGAAAGTCGCAAGGCCCGCACTTCCGAGCCGACATCAGCACCGCCCGCCAGACACACAAAGCCTGGAGTCGGCAGCCTCTTGCAATAAACCAGTCACTACTGCAATTGGTGGTTGCACGCCGCGCCCGCCATGAAATCAACAACGTGTAACAACGCAGCATGAGCAAACATGAAAACCAATGTCAATGTGTTTCTCATCATTCTATATATCGCCCACCCCCCCACTTTTGTTGTGTTTCGGGCTGCTGCCATCTCCTACTCCTCTTGGAGCGAATCTGTCTATGTTTCTGCGACTCACTGCAGTTGTCACGTACTTTTGAAGCCATGTTGGCACGAGCTAGGCGACCTGCACGTTCTGGGAGGAGGACGGTGACCGCAGTGTAGTGAATAGGAGATCTGCAGAGAATTGCCACATGCTGGAGTGGACGTCACAGAGTCATGCTCGGCATCATGAAGTCAGTGCGTCGTGTGTTTGATTTCAGTCGTCAGCTTTGTGGCAATGTTTGGTTCCCGCCAGGACCTTGTGCGCACTCCACCTCCGCGTCGAAGGGCGCAGGAGCTGCGTCGAGCGCTTGCTGCAGTGCGCACGCGTTGGCTGCAGTCGTCAGCACATGCCGATGAGCCAGGATTGCGAGACGCCTGACACATGTGCTGCAGCCTCAAAGTGGCACATCACAGCGCAGGAATAGGTAGAGGCTATCTGGGTCACATAGAAATCCTTTATGAGAATTTATCCGAGTCACGGAGACCCCCCCCCGGTTTAGTTAAGCTTTGCAGAATAGTTGAAACCCAACGTCATGCCCGGAGACCGGCTGGCCTGGAGAGCCTAGAACTCCCTGTCGTCTGTGTTTGGCATCTTGGCCCTCGTATCTGTTCTGCCGGCGGGGGTTCAGGCGAGGGGGGTTGGCCGGTTTATGATTATTGCGGTCAACATGAACGCCTGTCTGTGTTTGTGAGTTCAGAGACTTCCATAGCCAACGTGAATCGTTCCATACATTCCACTGGTATAAGGGCTGCCGCCGGCACCGACCGGGAACGGCGCTGAAGAAGCAGCCAAAGAAGCGAGCAGCGTTTCGGAAGGGTGGGGAGGGGGGGTTAGGTGCCCAAACGAAGCAGCTGCACCCAACCCTGTCGGTTGGCTGGGCGGAAGCCGCGCGTTGACGTGCAGCTTGGGAAAGTCGCAAGGCCCGCACTTCCGAGCCGACATCAGCACCGCCCGCCAGACACACAAAGCCTGGAGTCGGCAGCCTCTTGCAATAAACCAGTCACTACTGCAATTGGTGGTTGCACGCCGCGCCCGCCATGAAATCAACAACGTGTAACAACGCAGCATGAGCAAACATGAAAACCAATGTCAATGTGTTTCTCATCATTCTATATCGCCCACCCCCCCACTTTTGTTGTGTTTCGGGCTGCTGCCATCTCCTACTCCTCTTGGAGCGAATCTGTCTATGTTTCTGCGACTCACTGCAGTTGTCACGTACTTTTGAAGCCATGTTGGCACGAGCCAGGCGACCTGCACGTTCTGGGAGGAGGACGGTGACCGCAGTGTAGTGAATAGGAGATCTGCAGAGAATTGCCACATGCTGGAGTGGACGTCACAGAGTCATGCTCGGCATCATGAAGTCAGTGCGTCGTGTGTTTGATTCCAGTCGTCAGCTCTGTGGCAATGTTTGGTTCCCGCCAGGACCTTGTGCGCACTCCACCTCCGCGTCGAAGGGCGCAGGAGCTGCGTCGAGCGCTTGCTGCAGTGCGCACGCGTTGGCTGCAGTCGTCAGCACATGCCGATGAGCCAGGATTGCGAGACGCCTGACAAATGTGCTGCAGCCTCAAAGTGGCACATCACAGCGCAGGAATAGGTAGAGGCTATCTGGGTCACATAGAAATCCTTTATTAGAATTTATCCGAGTCATGGAGACCCCTGTTTAGTTAAGCTTTTGCAGAATCGTTGAAACCCAACGTCATGCCCGGAGACCGGCTGGCCTGGAGAGCCTAGAACTCCCTGTCGTCTGTGTTTGGCATCTTGGCCCTCGTATCTGTTCTGCTGGCGCGGGTTCAGGCGAGGGGGGTTGGCCGGTCTATGATTATTGCGGTCAACATGAACGCCTGTCTGTGTGTTTGTGAGTTCAGAGACTTCCATAGCCAACGTGAATCGTTCCATACATTCCACTGGTATAAGGGCTGCCGCCGGCACCGACCGGGAACGGCGCTGAAGAAGCAGCCAAAGAAGCGAGCAGCGTTTCGGAAGGGTGGGGAGGGGGGGTTAGGAGAAGGCTGCACAGCTACCGTCAGCAATTGGCACTGACACCCACATATGGGATTCATAATCCCATAACACCCGGGGTGAATCTCACATGTAGGTTTAGGTGGACAATTCCTTTTATCACTTGAATCTTGTGACCCTGAGCTCGTCGTCCAGAAACATCGCTGAACATACTCGGCACATCTTGGGGCCGCCAAAGGTGCACAAACTTGCGAAGCATCTAGACCAGGGATGCCCAAACGAAGCAGCTGCACCCAACCCTGTGGGTTGGCTGGGCGGAAGCCGCGCTTTGACCTGCAGCTTGGGAAAGTCGCAAGGCCCGCACTTCCGAGCCGACATCAGCACCGCCCGCCAGACACACAAAGCCTGGAGTCGGCTGCCTCTTGCAATAAACCAGTCACTACTGCAATTGGTGGTTGCACGCCGGGCACGCCATGAAATCAACAACGTGTAACAACGCAGCAAGAGCAAACATGCCTACTCCTCTTGGAGCGAATCTGTCTATGTTTCTGCGACTCACTGCAGTTGTCACGTACTTTTGAAGCCATGTTGGCACGAGCTAGGCGACCTGCACGTTCTGGGAGGAGGACGGTGACCGCAGTGTAGTGAATAGGAGATCTGCAGAGAATTGCCACATGCTGGAGTGGACGTCACAGAGTCATGCTCGGCATCATGCAATGAAGTCAGTGCGTCGTGTGTTTGATTTCAGTCGTCAGCTCTGTGGCAATGTTTGGTTCCCGCCAGGACCTTGTGCGCACTCCACCTCCGCGTCGAAGGGCGCAGGAGCTGCGTCGAGCGCTTGCTGCAGTGCGCACGCGTTGGCTGCAGTCGTCAGCACATGCCGATGAGCCAGGATTGCGAGACGCCTGACACATGTGCTGCAGCCTCAAAGTGGCACGTCACAGCGCAGGAATAGGTAGAGGCTATCTGGGTCACATAGAAATCCTTTATTTGAATTTATCCGAGTCACGGAGACCCCTGTTTAGTTAAGCTTTTGCAGAATCGTTGAAACCCAACGTCATGCCCGGAGACCGGCTTGCCTGGAGAGCCTAGAACTCCCTGTCGTCTGTGTTTGGCATCTTGGCCCTCGTATCTGTTCTGCCGGCGGGGGTTCAGGCGAGGGGGGTTGGCCGGTCTATGATTATTGCGGTCAACATGAACGCCTGTCTGTGTGTTTGTGAGTTCAGAGACTTCCATAGCCAACGTGAATCGTTCCATACATTCCACTGGTATAAGGGCTGCCGCCGGCACCGACCGGGAACGGCGCTGAAGAAGCAGCCAAAGAAGCGAGCAGCGTTTCGGAAGGGTGGGGAGGGGGGGTTAGGAGAAGGCTGCACAGCTACCGTCAGCAATTGGCACTGACACCCACATATGGGATTCATAATCCCATAACA